TATACCTGAAGGACCACCTCTCCCCATATAAACTGTCCCAGACTCTGCATTCATCATCTGAGGCCCTTCTTTGTATGCCTCCTCCACAAGAGGTCTGGAGGGTGGCAACACAAGAATGGGCCTTTTCTGTGGTGGCTCCACATTTGTGGAATGCTCTGGCCAGAGAGGCTCACCTGGCCAGAGAGGCTCACCTGAAGCACTATTTCTGGGTTAGCAGAGTCTGTAACCTGAAGCGTATGTAACCTGAAGCGTATGTAACCTGAGGTACCACTGTAATGGAGTCCAAATAGGGCCCTCAAAAACAAAAGAACAAGCTCCAGTAACCCAAAGTGTGCCGAAGTACAAAAGGTGGCTCTATGAGGCAAAACCTCCCAAATGCAGCCCATTGGAACCAAGCATGCTCAGGAGCCACAAAGTGTTTTTGAAAAATTAAAACTGAGTTCAGAGTGTTAATTTGTTTGCTCGTGCCCCTAACAGCGGAAAGGGTGGAGCAGTCCTCCCCACTAGAGAAGAATGGCAAATTAAACTGTTGGACTATGCCAAAATGGCAAGATTGATTGGGAAGCTCAGGAACCAAGAAGACCAAAACTTTAACAAAGAATGGAAAAAAATTATAATTTATCTTGGAGACCACTGTAAGCAGATGGAAACTTTAGCAGGATTACAATAACACTTTCAATGTAGCAAGTACTATGGAGTTAATGGAGTTATATAAAATATGGACTATTGAAAAATATGCAGTTGAAAAGGTTAATAATAGGACCCATGGAGGGGAAAGTGGGAAGTCCAGAGATTCTGAGGAATTTCCAAATGTGTATGTGTATGTTTGTATTGTTATAATTTTATATTTGTAAAATCAAATAAAAATTATTTCAAAAAAAAAAAAAAAAGGTGGAGCAGTCCTATTGAAGGGCAAGGATCTAATGCACCATTTTGTTGCATTTCCCACTTGTGTGTCTTCTTGCCAACATACCACTCCAACAGTGAGGCTACTTCATACATTTCTTTTGATGGGATTTAGCACCATTGTCACTAGATGATGTCTACCATTTCTTCACTGCTTGGAATGCAAGCCTCATTTATTGGTTGGCTGGAAAGGGCCCCCAAGAGACCACCTTTCTATTGTCATCTGTCCATCAGTCCTGGATTGCTGGAGCCATAGTAGCAGATGGAGTTCCAGTGTTGACTGACAGAGTTGGGGAGAGGATAGAATTAGGAAAGAAAAAGATGCTTAAATTTAACCATTAACGATAGCGAAGTCCTTTTGCAGAAACAGACCAAGTTGATTAGATTACTTTTGAAAAAGGAGCCTGCAGAGATTATTAGCTTTGCTTGGGGGGGGGGGGGAGAGGCACGTAATGTGCTCTGCAGGAGGAGCCCACAGGACAACAGGGAGGTTGTTTAGTGGGAATGCAGTTAAACACAGCATCTGTATTTGAGCAGGGTGAACCAATGTTGATTTAAATGGCCTGCTGTCTCTTAGAACACAGAATGGTATCAGATAAGATCGCATTGCCTTCTCTGCACTGCAATACAGCTGATAGGACCTAATCTGAACCAGGGTTCTTGACAGTATAAGCCTGGAGGCGGAACTCTGAGACAGAAACATCTAAAGCAAGCAAGAGTACCTTTGAGAACGTACAGCCTGCATTTTCATCACTCTAGATCATGGGTAGGCAAACTAAGGCCCAGGGGCCGGATCCGGCCCAATCACCTTCTAAATCCAGCCTGCGGATGGTCCGGGAATCAGCGTGTTTTTACATGAGTAGAATGTGTCCTTTTATTTAAAATGCATCTCTGGGTTATTTGTGGGACATAGGGATTCGTTAACCCCCCCAAAAAATAGTCCAGCCCCCCACAAGGTCTGAGGGACAGTGGACCAGCCCCCTGCTGATAAATTTGCTGACCCCTTCTCTAGATAGCTACAACTATTCTACATATTCTTGAGCAGTAAGGTATTTTGGGGTAAAGGGGGCAACCTACATGGACTACTAAGCAAGCCAACAGCTGTGCCTACATTTCTGGCCAACATCCTTGTTTCTGCATACTGTGGAGGCATCTATGTGCTAGACACACATCACCATCCTTGTGCTAAAAGGAGGTGAGGCTCTGGGAGTGACTGACCTGAAAAGTGCTACAGCTATGAGGTATGTAAAAGTAACCACAATGTGTTTTGTTTTTGCAATTCATCTAGATTTTAAATCTTGCTTGTCACCCCAATATCTTAACAGGCACCCCAATTTTATATATTTTTTAGACTGGGGAAGGTAAGCCACCCCAACAAGATGAAAGTGTTCTACTTCCGTTCTTTTCTAACCCACCTGCAGTTGTGTTAATGGATGCCACATGGCAGTGTGATCACCACTCATGCCAAGAGGAATTGTTGGACGCAGGCCATTCTGCAAGCGGCAATGCTGCACTGATATTTTACTCCTCCATTGCATTTCCAGCTCAGCTATAATGTAACGTGCGGATGGGCTTGTTGTGACATTCAGGTGGAGTCATCGCCCAGGAACAAGGCTGGGGAACTCTTTGGTACGCAAAGACACACCTTAGAGCAAATTATTTTCAGGAATTTTATTACAATTTGAAACCAGACAATGCCAGTGCATGGGATATACATTCATACAAGGATTTTTTTTCCTAATCAGAAAACAAGTCATATTTCTTATATAATACACAAAAGACATTTTAAAACAAGATCAGGGCTCCCAGAGCCATTCACAGCCTCCCACTCAAACATCCATTCAACCCTCCCATGCCAATTTGCCTCTCTTGGTTTCACAGTGAGAATGCACATCAGCTTTGGACATTATAAATACATAAAAGATGCACCTTAACTGGCACAAATAAAGAGTACAGCAAGTAATGCTACCAATAATTGTTATTTCATTCCCTCCATCATACTCCAATACACGGCTGTTAAAAAGCAGCTTCCATCACACATTTTGAAAATTGGAGTTAAAAGTTTATCCTTTTTTTATTTGAAGACCAAATTAATGTATGTTAAATAGACTCAAACTTATACAAATGAAAGGGGTTCTATCTGGTTTCATCAATGCAACAGTCTAGGATGTTCGGTGCTACTGTCCTTGAAAATGTGGAATGTGTTTGGAAGCAAGTTGGGTTTGCAACATAAAAGTGTTAGTAAAAATTCATTACTGGCTCCACTCAGACCTGGTAAAAAAATGAGCAAGAGCTCTCTTTTTAAAATGTAAGCACCAAAACAACAAAGGTTTAAAAAATGTTGAAATTATTTTCCAACTAGTTTGTAAGAAGATATTGGCTGCACCTTTTACCACTGAACTAAGGAATGTCTCAGCATTTTTTGTTCTTAATTTTGAACTTATGCAGGACAGAAGCTTTATGGGTGCAGTTTAAGTTGCAAATGGAGAAATGATAGCATTCCATCCATGTCCAAGTAGTTAAGAAGATAGTAAAACAGAAGACTACATTATATTGGGAATTGTTCTATCAGACATAATAACTGGTACTTCTGAGGTCCCACCTAGTAGGCTGAATATTTAACAAGGTGGGTTTCTTCTACATAACTTTACATGCTTTGGCTGATTATTTGCAGTAGTATATGATCAGCCTCATAAAGGGAAGGTGTTCAACAGAGAAGTTCTGAAGCTATCCTTTCTTTTCTTAGGCTTCTGAATAACCAGCATCAACATGATGTGAAAATGCCACTTCATGTATGAAGCTTCTCCAGGGATGTATTGGGGGCAGGGGTAGCAGCATTCTAACTTGTTTAAAGTCTCCCATTTTTATTTTTGAAGAAGGCTTAGATAAAGAGAGTGTTAAAAAAAAAAGCAGTTAAATTACAGCAACATACTGCATGCCCATATTGAAGTTAATGTTGAACAGCACATTCAGCTTCACAGTCTACTCTGAGCACCCAACCAAGTTATATTAACAAACAATGCAAGAAACAACTAACTAAGAGTGTGGGAGATGCGGGTGGGAAGAAGTTTCCCCTTTCAGCAACCAGAATGCCAATTTTTACATTGGCAATCTGACACACACACACACACACACACACACACACACACACACGCAAGCATGCATATATATATATACATGCTCCCCTATACTCTCACCCCCCCCTCTCTCACACACAGTTTTCTACTTTCCCCAGATTAAGCTCAACAGCATGTCCTGTGTAATGTAACTTGAAAGGAAATTCCTGTTGTGAATTGTAAGGGAAAGATAAACTCATTACTGCCACTACTGCTTTGCGTTTCCCTCCTCCCTGCCCCCACCCTCAAAATCCTTGAACAGGGACTCCACACCCATCTGATAAGGCCCACAACAAGCAGAGGCCAATGTACAGGAGATGTGGGGCACTGGCATAAATGTGAAAAGGGGTATAGACAGAGGGTTCTCATTTTTTAATTTATAGCAGATGCCTTGAGCATCTTAAGCCACACTGAAATCGAACCTTGAGTTTACAATGTGTGTTCTCTCCGAACAACATGGAGGCTTTTGCCAAAGCAGAGGCCACTACAGGTAAGTCATTTGAAGAGCAGCATTGGGCTGATCTCATATGCAACACAAAACAAGCAGCCTTGCAGAAGCTACTTTGCAAAGGAGAAATATCAAGATACACAAACCCAGTAATTGGCCACTCAACAACAGAGGAGAACTCTCTTAGTTTGCAGTCCCCGCTGGAGTAATTTCACAGTTATCAACAATTGGAAAAAGTCCGGGAAAACCCGCTTGGAAAAGTTTAGTTTTGCCATATGGGCCTTGGAACAGTTTAGAACAGGACTATTATACATTCCTGCACCAAACTATGCAGAGAAATATACCTGGACAGGATGAAGAGAGTCGCTTCTCTTTGTGTAATAGTGGATGGTGCAATACTTGGCACGAGGCACAAATGGCAAGATACTGCTAGCACCTGAATCCCATTTTACCAGATCTGAAAGGTCCTTAGTATGAAAGGGACCTGTTGATGGCCACAAATTCAGTCTCAGGGCAACATTTCTTCATCTTTATATGTTCACCAAGAATAGAACAGTTTGTTTATCCCATTCCAACTTAAAAAAGAAAGCAAGATGTGCATCTTCACAAAATACCAAACATACAAGGTAAAAACTGCTATCATGCACACGTGGCAGCACTATAGTGCGTTGGTTCAGTCCAGTAAAGACATCTGGCTGATAAAATACCCTTTCACTGTATGGTAGTAGCTTGCGGTATAACCTTCTGAATGGACACAGAGGATTCATGCGTATACACTCTGGATAGTTTTGTCTCCAGCAGGTTTCACACCCTTCCAGGGCAGCTGCCATTTAGTCCTCTTGTGTGATGAAGTTTTGAAATAGAAAGGTTATATAAATTTTCAGAGAAGCCACAAACAGCATCTTCATTTTAAATGATAACAAACAGGGTAGTAGTGATAAAAAATACAACCGGTCTGTTTCTTCCAATGCGTTAAGTTCTTTAAAAAAAAAGTCTGTAAAAATATTTTGCACAACCTTCTATATCCATCCATTTATGATAAAAAGTCAAATACATACATGAAATAGAGTTTTATTTCTATACAGTTATACTCGCAAGGCAATCAGTCCTCCTTGGCTGGCCTTTTTACCTCCAGATGCTCTGCTTTGCTGACATGACTGCAAGACATATAAAAATAAATGAAGTGACCCCATTATGATGGCTTAGTGTTTGATAAACCAGAATATGAAGACAGAGAGGAAGGCGGGGGGGGGGGAAGGGAGGAAATGCTATTCCATGCAATTGCAGATTCAAACAAAAATAGCGACAGATTCTTCATGAAAGTGTGATCAAACTGAAATGATCACACGAGAAAATTTAAGATGTGTACCTTACTGTAGTAGTATCACAAAATGGGAAAGCCCACCTAATCTGTACCACAAGCACAGAGAATTAGTTCAAGTCAACAGAGAATTTCATGATCATTTGCTCCTATATTCAAAGCAAAGTATCAGCATTCTCAGAAGCCATTCTCACCATTAAAATATGCAGAACTCTCCAAGAACAGAATACCAGCTTGAGAAAACCAACTCTGATTTAATGTAGCACAGCCAAGAAAATAGATAGAAAGGCTGTTGTGATGCTATAACTGTAAAGGATTCCTAGCTCTTTGTTGTGATAAGACTAAGATTCCATAGCCATCAAAAATAGTTATGGGGGTGGGAGGGAACTGCAAGCTATAATCAAGATAATTTAAAGCCCCAAATACTGCACCTAGATCGCTTCTGAAATATCATGAGGATCCGGCTTTTAATTTTAACCCTCTCTATAGACTCAGTCAAGAAGGTTGCCCACAAAGTGAAGGTTGCTGGGATGAGGACCACCACCACACTCTGGTGGAACATTCCACAGGAATCCTTTTTAAAAACAGAACCCACTCAAACAAATGGGACCTGCCCAGGACAAGTTAACAGGAGATAAATCTATTTGCATAGATAAAAACGTTCAAAACTGGATATTGGGCCCATCATCATTGGCCAATTAGATCACCAAACTATTATTCCATGGATTGGGTCCTAATTCCCACAAAGTGATATCTTCACCAGCATCACCATTCGAGGGTTTAAAAACTGGTCTGGAAAGACAACGTGGACATATTGCATTACTTGCCTTGCTGTGTCTCAAAGTTGCTTTGACTAAGGTCCATAGGGACAACACGTGGAATGCACTGATTGCATTATAAAACACTAAATGTTTTGTCTGTCTGTCTGTCTGTCTCTCTGTCTCTCTCTCTCTCTCTCATGACACCACTTCGCAGGATGTGAGTGGAAACCATATACTTTGTGCTGGTTTTCAGCCAGGCTGTCTAAAATTACCATTTGTTTCCTTCAGAGCTAAAATAGTTCTTGGCATCCACCTGTCTTGAGAGACAATGGAGTGCACCTCTGGGGGTGAAGTCAAACCACTGCAATAGCAGCACCAAAGTGACCTCCCTAGGGCACAAGTCTGGGCAGTGTGCTTGAAGATCCTGGGCTGGGGTCTGCAGGGCATTGGGGGGGGGTAGCTCCGGTGAGGGACACATCGTGCTCCTTCCAGGGTAATTTGTTCACCTTTGGTTCCCAACTCGTGTGCTCACCTGTGGCTCCTAGAAGCTGTCAGCATGCAACAACAGCCATAACCCAGGAAATGGCTTCAACTGACCAGCTAAACCAGGAAGCTAAAACTGTGTCTTTTTAAAACAAGGAATGGGAACCTCTGGTCCTGACGTCATATGCAGGGAACTCGATCACACAGCCGATCCATGCAGAATGCAGGGTAGAACTCACTGCTGGACAGCAAGTAAAGACTAGCATTTTAAAATTGTACAGACCAGTTCTGGTGCACTTTGTAGCAAGATATTTCATATCCTCAGCATACGGGATTAAAATTTACATTTGTCAAATGAAACTAACAATGAAACTAACAATGGTGGATGAAGAAAGGGCTGCAATTAATTCATCAGGGATAGACAGCCACACATTCTGTAAGAGTTTATAAAAGAGAAAAGATCCCCTTGCCATCAACTCTTAGGAATCTAAGCTGCTAACTAAAATATGAGACATTAAAGGAATTTGGCAGAATGACCTTGGGTGAAGGACAAGCGAATTGAATATGCAGGGCTTTGTCTTTGCTAGTGAAGTTTTAAATAGGCTTGAACTAGCAAACATCCTCAGCTGAGTAAGCAATACTGCACTGTGTAGCTAAAGCAACTGCTCCGAGACAAAATGCCATCCTGCAAGCGATTAGACTGTTACTGGTGAGTGTCTATTGATCTCTCACCCACTGCACAGTGGAGCAGTGACAAGAGCAGTCTTGGCCCGAGCCTATCATGTCATACAGCAGGCATAACTTCCTGTTATTCTCTGCTTACTCCCACCCTCAGCTTCTCTTCCCTTCTCTTTGGTTACTGCTGGCCCCAACATGCTACAGTTTATGGGCACCCCCTGCAAAACAACCGAGCCACTAGCTGCTGATTCAGGGAGTGGGGAGAGAGGAGGAGGAGCAGCACAGAAGGCAGGAGAGAAAAACTGAGGAGTAGAAGAAGAGTTTGTAGAAACAGCCACCTCCTTGCAGATGAAAGCTGCCCGCCCCCACTATAGCAAGATTAGGACGTCTGGAGGACTGCTTGACAAGACCAGGTTTTCAGCACACAAGAGGCTTAGGGCAGTTCAAACATACACACCCTCAGGGTTCAAGCTGGACACCAGGGGGTTCTGAAGGTTTCGTGGATTGCCGAGGAACTGCTTGGCTGTGGCTCGGGGAGGAGAATCTGTGCTGGGCTCAAGTAGATCTAGGGAAAATAATCATGGTGACAGTTCAGTTAACCAAAAGTACAACAAAATAGCCCTGAATTTTCAGGAGCAGCACTTCGATACATATTTCCTTAAGCTCCGCCTTTCTGGAGTCATACCTCCTTACATTCCTCGGGTTTCTGAACTTTGGGCATATATATGTAACTGAACTTTATGCAATGCACTGGAGTTACACCTTTGGTTTTCTTCTCCACCCCCCCGTCCCCGCCCCATTTGTAGCATAATCAGTACATTGTAAGTACACACATTGCTCCCAATTCCTTAACCAGAATTAAGAGGTCAGGAGATGGCCATGTGATTCAAGTTCCCTCTCCTGTCCAGTACAAATAGGATGTTGAACCTGGTTTTGTATGGTAATGAATCTGAACATATGCAACTAAGCATTGCTTCCCTGTTTATCCCTCCCTCCCTTTCCTCTGTGATGAATTTCAGATTGCAAGCTGCTCAGGGCAGATACCTTCTCTCTTATGCTCTGTACAAACAAACAACAACAACCAATGTGTGCATAAACTCACGCTACAGCATTACCATGGCCTGCTTCTACTGATTTGGCTGGCTGTGCAGCCATGGAAACACTGTTTGCCACACAACTAAACAACAGACTGTTGTCTCCCCCCCAACCCCCCCTTATGGTAAACTTTAAAGCTGCTTAATTGGTATGTGGCAATATGCTTTCTTCTGGCAAAGGATCTCAGACTTTTTAAGGCACCCTTCCCCCTCATCAGTGGTGCCCAACATGTGTCCTGTGCTGCCACTTCTGACCCACATTCGCAGTTGATATCTCTGCTATTTCATCCCAATTCAGCTTTCTCCAGCTGGATAAATCACTGTATTGATCTCATGGAGTACTAGTGGACCCAACTTCTGTGACCAGGCAGGCAGGCACCAGCATTTCCCATTGATTGATTTTGTGGAAGGCCACACCTTATGCCGACACCGCATCAGTGTGAAAAATCAGTAATAATTGTGTATTGGTGCAAAAAGAAAAACAACAACACCCAAGCCTGTTCCATACATGCACGCTGTCAACTTCAAGATTTTTCTTGGAAACTAGAAAAATTTATACCTGAGGTGCTGCTGCATTGTGCAGGTTATGCCAAGACAGACCCAGGGAACTACACTGCTGCAATTGCTGCCCACATTCCACAGCAAGAGCTTCAGCACAGGTGGGTCCCCCCCCCCCAAAAAATGAGCTGTATTCAGCTAAGTCTTACTCAGAATAGACCCACTGAAATTAATGAACCTAAGTTGGTAATGCCCATTAGAGTCAATGAGTCTGCCTTGAGAAGGGCAAGTGTTGAATATCACCCAGTTAGTTTCTCATTTAGGCTGGCCTATATGCAGCGGCTGCAAAGTTAAGGGAAGGCTAACGTATCTTCAAAGACTGGGCTAGCTAGCTAAAATACCATAGGATGCTGGGCTTTGAGAATGCCAGATCTCAGTAGAACCCCTCTCTCTGCCCATGAAAGCGTAAATCTGTAGTATTTAAGATGTCACAATACTCTGTGTTGTTTTCCCCCTGAAGCTGAGATAGGCAACTAGCAGAACAGACCTCTAGTCCAGACCATTTCCCGGAGGCTGCCCACTCAGATACTATGTTAAAGGAAATATTCTTGAATAAGTGGGAAGGGGACCACATTTCAGTTGCCACCATCACTGCTGTAGTTGTGGACCTTTGTAGTGCTTAACGGCTTGATGCTACCTTACCAACACAAGGCAAATTCAAAACCTATATAAATGCTTTTAGACATCTACCCTGTTTAAGTTGTGTTGCACTTCTTGTAATATGTGGGAATCCAGAGTTTAACATGGAGCAAGTTCAACAATCAGAAATTGACTTTTTCCTTTCTTAAATAGTTGTGCTAAATGTCCCACTTTGAACTTCCAGTTTTTCTTCACATTCATTTTTAGGTACCGTATTTTTCGCCCTATAGGACGCACTTTTTCCCCTCCAAAAATGAAGGGGAAATGTGTGTGCGTCCTATGGGGCGAATGCAGGCTTTCGCTGAAGCCTGGAGAGCACCGACCCCTCTCGCTCTCCAGGCTTCAGGAGAGCCCCACCGCCAGCCCCACAAGCTCTGTCCGACAGTGGGAGAGGCGCAGCGCGCCTTTCCCGCTGTCCCCCGACTTGGTGAGAAGGCTGGCGGGGGAGAAGCCTGCTCCTCCCCATCGCCAGCCCCGCAAACTCGGGGGACAGCGGGAGAGGTGCAGCACACCTTTCCCGCTGTCCCCCGACTTGGTTAGAAGGCTGGTGGAGGGCTTCCCCCGCCCCAGCCCCGCGCCTGGGGGGGGGGGAATAATTTTTTTTTCCTTTATTTTCCTTTATTTTTTCCTTTATTTTTATTTTTTCCTTTATTTATTCTCCCCCCCCCCCCAAATCTAGGTGCGTCCTATGGACCGGTGCGTCCTATAGGGCGAAAAATACGGTATATTTTCAAAGGAAGCTCTACCTAGCACAGTGTTTGGATGCAAGATCCATACAGCAGAGTTCAAGCAGATGCCCAGAAACCTATCCACCTTCTCCCCCCACCCCAACTGCTATTCCCTGCTACTGCAGTATAGATTTATGGATAAGTTTGTATCTGCTGTCCATTTGTTTCTCCAGCCAGATAATTTTAAAGGGAGGCTTCAAAGAAAGCCACACCAATGCATTTCCATGCGTTGCTGATTGTTTGCTGATGTCACAACTAGAGGCCAGAAAACTGGGGATATTGACATTCCCTACCAGCTTACATGAGAGGAAGCACAGTAGGAGGCCTTAACTAAAGTGAGGTCTCCTGCCTCCCCTCTCCCCCCAACTTTGCCCACCCTTTGAGTTGTGTTCCAACCTCCGGTTCTCTGGTGAGCCAGCAGCTCAGAGCTGGTTTCATCCAGCTGGGGTTCCGCTTCTGATCTGGGCTGTGGGGAAGTCACCATGGCTCCTGTCTGCTGGATGAACTGCTGCAAGTTACACTGCCTCAGCTCCTTATTTAGCTCCTCCAGCTCTTGGTTCTGGGCCTGCAAGATATAGGAGGAACAGGCAGAGTGAACTTATCTTCATCTGAGACATGAAGCTGCAGAAGAAAGGCTTCTGATCCCACCCCAGCCTCCTCCAACTCGCTTCTCTCTGCTTCTTGACCATTAGCAGAAATCTACCAGAAACTACATGAGCTGACAGGAATAATATGGTAGGTGGCTAGATATTCATTACTGGATGCTTACACATTCCAAAAGCTTCTTTATCATGAAGTCAGTATCTGCTGGCAATCTGGTGTGGGTCTTTGTGGTGGGTGTTGGGGGTGCAACTGAAGATCTATCCACCAGTTCTAGACAACTTGCTAGCAAAGCATCTAACCCCAAACAATCTCAAGCACACCCCACCCCACTTTTGCATCGCTCAGGTGGCCCATTTTCCTCTTTGCTAACAGAATGACAATATTTTCTCTTCCTTTTAAATGTGGCTGAAGATGGAGACTGAAACATAACAGCAAGATAACCCTTGTATTCTGACCGTGCTATAAAGACTGAGGATAGACTGTGAAAAGCACAGACCTGCAGACAAACAATCTATCTGATTCTCGTAATGGCTCTTGTATGTTACGGTAGTCTATTTATTTAGCTCTCAGATAGTGAGCGTGCTGCTTAATTGCTCCCACTTCATTGTGCCCTGCCTGCAGCCAGGAGAAACAAACCCACAGATGTGCATGGGCCTATTATTATTCTTACAGTTTGGAATTATTTTAATGGGTCCCCCACAAACCCATACACAATCATGTCCTTATAATCAGAGTCTGACAGAGGCAAAAGAAAAAAAGTACAGTACAGTACACAGCATTTCCTCTACTTGGCCATAAGATGGCACCAATGTCTAGTCAATAGTTAAACAAGAACCAGGAGAAGACTCAGGACTATTACTGCTGCTTACTTTTGCGTAAAGCAAAGAACAGAAAAGAAGCAACAGCTGCCTGTGTTTTGAAGATGCACATAATTAACATGCTGCTATAACACCTTCAAACACAGATTTCTAATAGCTAAATTAAACTGGAAGCAAACACGAGGATACAGTACTTTGCTTTCCCTGGGAATGTTCCTGAGCAAAATCACAGTTCTGAGCCTCCCTCCTCCAAAGGCAAATAATTCTGCTTGTGTTGCTGCTGCTGCAACGGAAGTGACTAAGCTGGGTGAAACACACCTGATGTATTGAATGACATGCCTGCAGAGCAAGCAGGAAAAATCAGAGAAGTGATTCATGCAGGGATACAGCAGGCTGGTTCTGCTTTGGGCTCACAGACGACTAATTTTTATTTCAAATATTATTATTTTTACCACACAGCAGTGTGCTTGGTGCACAGTTTGCATACCCTCCATCACTTCTCTAATGAAAATAGGGATGTCCCACTCCATAATGATAAATTATACTATTTATACCCCATACATCTCACTGGGTTGCCCCCAGCTGCTCTGGGTGGCTTCAAACATATATAAAAACAAAATAAAACATTAAACATTTAAAAAACCCTTCCCAATACAGGACTGCCTTCAGACGGCTCAGGGGTTGGATAACTCCATACCCTCCAACCTTTCTCCAATGAAAATAGGGACGTCCTAAGGAAAAGCAGGACATTCCGGGATCAAATCAGAAACTGGGATGGCTTCTCTAAATCAGCGACATCCCTAGAAAATAGGGACACTTGGAGGGTATGGAGTTTGGGGATCACTCTACAAATACAGTGGTAGCCGGTTTGATGTTGGCAAACAAGTAGCCTTTACCATTATTTAATGGTTTTATTTCTACATTTGTTCCAAAGCAATCCCTTTACTGTAGGATGCTTTCAGGGTTAGATTACACGCAAATGACGATTTTGCACACTCAAAGTGTGTGCACAGACATGCCCACAAATATAATTCCTATGTAAACCAACACATCACAGTACTATGCCTGAAGGACTGCACACCTCATAACCAGGTTCAATTCATGTCTGCAAGAGTTGCAGTATAACTTTATTAGGCCCGTTCTATCAATTCAGGTACAGAACAGCTTTAATTCCTTTGGGTTTGATGATCTTGCAAGATGCTAATCTCCCTGGTTCCATCCCAGCTAAACCACATGATAATCCTCATGGGAAGAGTCCTAAACTAAATTCAACAGAAACAACCACGAGCTTAGTGCCCAGTCTCAGAACATACAACATTGTGCAAGATCATTTCCATTTGGTTGATGTAACAGCTACACATTCTACTGCCACCTGCCAGGTTTATAACTCAATAGATTCAAGACCTCACCTAAGCTACTGCTAAACGCCTGGAAGGGTAGAATTCTAAGGAAGTCCAAGGCTGCAAAGGAGACCCCGACACAGTTTTCCTGTAGAATTTTGTCTTATGTGGATGTACTTTTTTTTGCAACTAGACCTAGTATCCTAGTCTAACAGATGTACTATTAACTGCATCCTTATTCTGTGCTCAAGTGATTTAAATTGCAAAATGAGTAAAAACAATGCTCAACTGCATTCTGAAAAACATTTAGAGGCCTAAAAACATGGGTATGCAATCATGCATCATGGAATGCAACTACCCATCCAGGGATCCCCTCAGAAAAGAACATTATTGTGAAGTGCATACCTGAAGGCTTTGCTCTGCTTCCTCCAAGGCCTTCCCCACAGTTTCCAGGCTGCTCTCCAGGTGGGCACTCTGCTTGGCCTTAGCTTCCAGATCCCTTTTCATTTTAGCTGCCATTTCTTCTAGTTCACTCGGGCTCTGCCTCGGAGCTTCCTTTGCCCTCTTGGCCCTCTCGGAAATCTCCCACTGAATTTCTCTCTCCAAGGCCTCCGTTTTCACCATAAGCTCATGTATTTTTTGCGTGTACTCCTCCATGGTGGCCCGCAGGGTGTGGACTTTCTCCTGGCGCTCCCTTTCGCACTCCTTCTCTGAGCGCAGTTCACTCTGCCAAAACCCTTCCTCACCCAGCTCACTCTCGTTTTGCCGAATCAGCTGCTCCAGGTGCAGGATCTCGTCCTCCTGGCAGGAGCCTCTGTTGTGTTCCCAGTGCCGGAGGTCCATTTCCAAGGCATCCCCCTGCATCTCCAGGGAGTAGAGATGCTCCTGTTGGTGCAGTATGGTCTTGAACAGTTCCTCTTTGGAAAGCAGCCCCCCACTAGCACCTTCCCTCCAGCCCACGCTGTCCTTCTTGTGTTGCTTCAGCTTGTTCTTGGCAAGCAGATCACTGGAGGCCATAGGGCCCAGGTTGAAGGTTAAGGATTTTTTGGGCTGCCTGGGTCTGGGCACTTCTGTGCCGACCGGCCTGGGTTTGATGGGCAGGCTAGCCCTGACAAACGTCCTCTCGGGTACCTGGGGAGCACTGTCTGAAGAAGGTCTCTCAGTGAGGCTGGGGCCTGTGCGCTGCAATATGAATTGCACGTCATTGGCATACTGTCCGCACTTGGCCATGGACTCCACAGGGCATTCATGTGGGAGAAGCTGCCTCTCTTTTTCACGTAGTCTTTGGATGAGAACATAGCGACCTGTTTGACCTGAGAAGAGGGACAGGCGTAAGTGGGGAGCATTTCTTCACTACAGAAACACCAATAACCCTTCCTGCCCCGTTCTATCTGCATCACACTCACATTCCACCCTAATATCCCTCTCACAAGGTCAAGTCCATTACACCAGAAGGCTGGATGTTTTTGGGGTGGGTGGACGCTGAGCATTTATGAAAACTGATAGATCTGTCAACAAATTAAATAATAGGCAGTCTTGCCAGTGTCCCTCAGCCCACGCAGCTCCCATTCCAAGTTGGGCCACATGTTTTTAGCTCAACATTTGACATGGAAATTCCATCCTTGAGAACTGGGTTTACCCTACTGCTCCATCAGAAAGCAGTTCTGGTTTAGAGGGTGGCTTGGACATTCACACCAATTTTTCTTCTTATAACTCAAGGTTAGGCATGAACTTAATCATTTACACTTAATGTTTACACCCACTAGGGGAGGAAATACCAAATTTGGAAATACCAAAGCATTCCAAATGCAGCAGTTCCACCTCCATTTGTACCCTGAGCTAGGATTTGAGCTTCATTTGCACACATGACAAGCTAGCAACATGCTTAAACCTCTTGCTAAAATAGACTCCTTTGGGAGTGATGGGGAAGATGCGCCTTTTGGGGAGTGTGGGCAGAATTCGGCTACGTGGCCGAGCCTCACTTCTTCGCTCTGGAGGGTTGGAGAAAACCCCAGAACAGTGGGAAGGGGGAACAGGTGCTATGTGAATGGACCTCATTCCCCATTTCATAGCCCTTTTACCGCAACACTGAATCCCATACCCTGTGTTTGATCACCTTTCAAAAATCATGAAACAACCAGTTGCAGAAGTCCTCCTCTTTGACCCTGTCAACAGGTCCCCAGACAAGGAAGCAATTAGCTTTCTCCTGGCAGCTGACAGGCTGATGACACCAGGTGGCTGGAAATTTTCTTCAGACTTTTCCTTGGACAATTGGTGCAGCCCAATTTAGTGCTTAGCGCTATCTGAGAAGTTAACCCATGCTGTCAGGTAGGCAAAGGGTCAGTCTCAACCAGAGGTGTTCTGACACTGTTTGGTTCCTACTCATACCATTTATTAATCCATTGAGGGAATGTAACCACCAAATTCTCAGAAGGGTTTTTGGAGAGATGCTTTATGTTGAGGAGCATCATATCTGTGGATTCTATCTAGTTGGAACTCCCTGACCATCCTTGCTCAGGGTATTTGCAAATAATTCAATGTGAGACCTTTAACTGTTTATTTCACTGTTAGTTTTGTCATTTGTTATACATTTTTGGGGGGAACCAGAAAGGGTTCTTTATCTTCTCCCACACTTGCTATATTGCCTCCCAAGGCCTCCTCTCCCCTCCACAATCTGACATTTTAATGCATACACTTAGTATCTGGAATGACTTTGGAAGATTTATTTCAAATTCCATTAACATTTTTTCTGGCTGCAGTTCTTGGGAGCATTTTAATGCAAGAACCGAAACCCTTTTAGGCAAAGTTATCATTAGCAAGATTTTGTGAGCTCCAACAGCTTCCAGTAGTGAGTCAATAAGCTGCTAGCCCACAAGGTTTTTGCCTTAAAAGCCCTGATGATTCCTTACCAGCTCATGGAGTACTTACATAAGCTGAAACTGAAACCCGATCTTGCAGAGTCAGGACACAAGTACCCCTAAATCTAGTTAAAGGGCAAAAGTGGAGGCTAATACAAGCTTCACTTGCTGTTCCTAGCACATTTCCGCATCAGAAAACACAGCGTAAGCCTGAGTACTGATCTGCCCAGAAAACAGTTAAGGGGAAAACAAACACGCAGGCTCTGAGTCATCCTTGTATGTTGCAAATGTAAATTAAGGTTGTGCTCTGACCATGTGAAATGCAGTATGACTGTTGAACGTGGGAGGTGGCAAACAATACCCAAGCCTCTTGTATACAGCAGAAGGCTTCATGAACAAACACCAGAGCTGCCCAATCACTACTTTAGTGCATCACTCATTATCTACTCAGGAAAATGTGTTATGGGAATTGAAAGCCAATTGTCTCACAAAGGACTTAAAAAGACGTATGAGGATAAATGAAATGCAGAACATCCTACTATGCAGAAATAGCAACCCAACTATAATTTGAGGGAAAGGGGCATCAGATAGCATTTGTCCTCACTAGCAACTTGCACATGCACACACACTCACTCACATTTCATAAATTCCTCAGGCACATGCAGAACATTTCAGGAAAAGGCAGAGATTTCTCTTCTTTGCACTGAGTTATAGGGAAAGTTAAGAAAGAGCAGGAATTTGCAAGGGAGTACCCATATGAGAGACTGGCTCTTTAAATCTCCCCCCAACTCATTTCCCCCTTCCATGTATTCTCTGACAGTTTTTATTTGTTGTATGCTCCTGCAGTGCAACTCCCCGCTCCCCAGAATTAGAAGTAAGTGCCAGGGGTCAGCAACCTTTTTCAGCCGTGGGCCGGTCCACTATCCCTCAGACCTTGTGGTGGGCCAGACTATATTTTTGGGGGGGAAATGAATGAATTCCTATGTCCCACAAATAACTCAGAGATGCATTTTAAATAAAAGGACACATTCTACTCATGTAAAAACACGGTGATTCCCAGACCGTCCGTTGGCCAGATTGAGAAGGCGATTGGGCCGCATCCGGCCCCCAGGCCTTAGGTTGCCTACCACTGAGTAAGCCCATTTCAGGTGGAGGCTGCTTAGGAGGAATTGGCAGTGGAGAAGTGGCCAGAAGGGGTAAGCTACTCTTAATCAACCCCCTCACCATCCAAAAGCCTCTTCTACACCTGCATTAGTTCAGCAAATGTGGTTTTTGGAAGTGCGAGTTTGCTGAACAATGTATAAGCAGTGACAATATGAAGCGCTTTATTAGCTTCATTAGTGATTGCAGTGGAGCCAGCTGTCTGTCCCTATATTCCCCTTACCCCAGTGCAAACTTGTATCCTATCCCCCTTTACCTGTATTTCTTCCTCCCCCCATCCACCAAGCCCACGAGCTTCCCCAAATGAACCCAAGAGTGCTTAGAAGTCAAAAAAACAATGCAAAAATACAAGAGGGAAGGAGTGAGTGGGGAAAATGGAGGGAAGTTTTATTTTTTCAGCATAAATCTGGGAAACAAACCTACCTGTATGCCCAGACACACAAATGATTTTCACACAAAGCTTTGTAATATCCCTTCTATAAAAAAAAAAATTAACGTAGTGACAAAAAAGGTAGCTGGAAGCTATGCATATCAAACATGGCAACATTCATGTATCTCCCATGTATTACAAAACAATGGCCATCCTTATTAGCATAAGCTCCATTAACTTCATTTGATCTTGCTTCCAATGAAACTTGTAAAGGATTAAACTGCAAGCTTACTTTTAGACCAAGCAAGTGTAACGATTACTTACCAATGGCACGTGCCAATGCTATGACAACCTCCTGGCATGTGGTCTGTTCGGAGACACCGCATACAACCCGCTGGACACCATCCACCCAGACCTTTAGCTCCATCACCAAAACAGTAGATTACACTTTCTGGATCATTGCAGTAGGTCTTCCCTGCAGAGATGTTTAAAGAAAGAGGAGTTTAAGCTTGCTGTCTGATTTCATTTTCACATACATTTTCTTGCTCCAGATTGCTCCAAGAGCAAAAATGCTAATTGGCTGACATTCAAGGAAGTTCTGAGGTGTCTATACCTCTTCTTCCCACCTCTCCAATTTCTAGCCCATCTGCTCCAACAGACGGTTCTAGGTTTTCTTAGAAAAAGCTTCTGGCTCAAAAAGAAATGGCAAACAATTCCCCCCCTTTTTTTCAGTTTCACAGCTTCCTAGATCATCTATCCCATCTCTCCAAAATGAAATACGACAGTTAGGACAGGACAATTCAGAATGCAGATGTGACATTTCACCACTCCAGATAGGTCAGCAATAGCCCCCTGCTAATCACGAACTTCAGAAACCAATAAATTTATGTAGCTAACTACAGTTTATCCTGTTCATGTTTCTGCTTGAGTTTCCAAAGACAGACTGTATGGGGTAGCTTGCATGAATGAAGAATAACAGGAGTCTAAAGCATAGTTCTGTTTTATAACAGGGTTGCCATATTTCAAAAAGTGAAAATCTGGACACAAATGTTGTTGAGCTTGACATTGCAACAACAATCCTAACACATTGCCTAGATGTAGCCAACCAGCACGAGAAAACCTAGATGAGATCAGAGATGGTGCTCAGTTTAAGACTGTGCGGGACACAAGAGGGTAGAACTGCTACCAGAGCATCCATAAGAAATCGTACAAACATATGCATATAGTAAATTCACCTTCTATCTGCTTTAGCTAATATTCAGATAAGCAAAGTCTGCAATCATATGATAAGCCGCAGCATATAAAGCAGTGAGGTCATACAGTTTGAATCATATGAATAGAAATACAGATCTGCATTAGGCCATATGTCATTAATGGACTAAAACAGGTTCCTGGAGATAATAGGTTAGGCTAACCGGCTAAGAGATTAGTGAAAATTGCTTTGCCCTTTTCAAAAATTGCCTGACTGAAGTGGTATGCTGCACACACATTAATCAGCTCCTGTTCCTTCTACTTCTCACTTCATCAACATGATGAAGTCCTTTTCAGAGTTATTCAAGATACATCACTTAAGTCTTTAGAGAAGCATAGTTCTGTTTATCAGGATTCCGGATAAATCAGAGGATAACTACATTTACTGTTGTATTTCTGACATGAAACTTAAATGGAGATGAATATTAACATTTGGGTAAGTCAGAGAACAAGCTATTTTATTTTAAAAGCATTTTGGAAATTGTATGTTTGTATGTTTAACCCAAAGTCTCTGCAAGTCACTTTTCCTCATTTTTTAGTGGTGTGCAACAAGCCTGAAGAACGCAGCTGGCAATGCTTCAGCAGCCCAGATACCAGAGAACAAGAATGCTGCAAGTTAAATATTAAACAGCACTAATCTGGTGTTAATCAGCTGCCTACCAGAACTATGAAAAGAATGAAGGGTTGTGGCTTACTGGCTGGATATCAGCCTCTTGGATTCCAGCCCTTCTTACAAAGTCACCTTTGGCCGACAATGCCACACCTGAAAAATGTTCTTTTCTCCCAGCCAGAGTGAAGTGCAAAAGTACATCACTCGGAAAAAGGAAAAGAAAAGAGCACCCACCCCATAATATCGCTACAACATGCCAAAGAGCAGGTTAGTTTTGACATTGTTAGTGGTGCGTTTCAGATTTCTCAACTCACGTACATCTTACGTGGAGTTCTTCCTATAGTGCTAAGAGGAAAAACATTAACCATTTCAGGCGTTGTTGCACAGAATAGTAGAACAAAAGAATATGAGAAAAGGAGGATCAACCATAACTTTTTTTTCAGCCCAGCGCAACCCCATTTCATACATACATTCTCATGAGTCATGAAAATAAAACTTCTTATTTTAATTTTAAAATTACACCACAACCCACGCTGGGGCTCTTCTCTTATCTTGACACAAGAATCTCTGGGACTGCTAATTGTTGAGAGCTTGTCACCTTTTGCTGCATGGGGCGGGGGGGGGGGACGACAACTCCCTGATAGTCCACATTCAGAACTCAATAAGTCTGGCAATTGAATATGACTTCACCACTAGTAATATACAGTGCCCTCTACCATACTTAAAGGCAGAGACCTAACTTTGGTAGGGCAAAAGGGAAGTTGCATGGCATACAGTGCTGTTTTCCTAGCACCTCATTTCTGTTCTCCAGCATGTTGTCTGAGGTGGTTGCCTCACTCTACCTAATAAGAGGGCTGGCCCCAAGGAAAGATTCAGTGCAGTGGGACACACAGCAATGAACCTCAGCCCACCGGGGTCTGGCTTGGCTATCTGCTTCTAGAGCAATGGGTATGGGTAGGTAGGGTCAGGTAGGGCCGCTAGATCCAAGCCATGATACATCTCTGTGTCTCAGTGGTTTGGCGCTCCACCACTGGACCACAGAACATGTGCTCAGCACCTGCTACTATCATCAAACTGAAAACCCTAAAATTATAGCCCATCCACATTGGCAACAAATTGCTAGAGAGTTTCAAGCAAAACATGAAGCAGGCATATGTTCTCACATCTCAGTTTTCCACAAATATGTAAACTAAACATTTCAGGAATGTTCTGTTTTTAAAAGTGTAATGCTTATATGCAGTAATTATTGAACTATTTTTTTTTGGTAGAGGTTTCCAGTATAAACACATCCCTGCCAACATTTCACAGATGAAAACTCCTGCATATTAAAGGGTGGGGCTAGGCACTAAGTCCAGCAGTGTGGCTGGGAGACAAATGGTACATGCAAACTCCAGATGACAAAAGCAGCAAGGCAAGCCAGATACAACAAGGCAAGCAAAAAGGCACGTATACTGTACTGCATTTATACTATTTAGATAGGACATGCAAGTAGGCTCCATTTCCCCCGTCTTCCCCGTTCCACACCCCTGCAAGCTTCAGCTGCCATTCTGACTGGCTCATCTTTTCTAACAGTTGCTATTTCATTCTCTGTCCCTCCACCTCTTCCAGGTGCAAGTATTTTCCAATCTCAGCAGGCCAGGAGAACAAAACAGACACATCTAATCTGCATTTAGTGCTGCACCTTTGAGTAGAAAGTATCAGATGAAAAGGGCGGAAATCATTTTAATATAAAAGAATACATTTTATATCAGTTTCTCTGCCTGCATCTGTAAAAAAAAAGTGAAAATAAATTATGATTTCTCAACAAGAATGTTTTAGTGACTAATGGGGATTTCCATTCAATCCAATTGCCTTTGATGAAGGGCAAGTTATATATATATATATATATATATATATATATATATATATATATGGAAGGCAGCCGTTATTTCATCATCAGATTAAAAAACAATCCAGGAAGCAAATGCAACACAGATGCTGAAGTGATTGATCCTGTTCCAGAAACAGATGTAACTTAGAAATATTTCCATCAGTAATATTGAACTAATATTATTTGATCTTGGTACATGCTCTGTTATAAATATTGAAAGTAGCTTCAGCTCATATTAAGTGCTTGTATCGCAGAATTAAATACCAAATTACTAGAAGGACTTGAAAGGGATTGATTATTCATAATTTATTGTTCATGATGGCATGTCAAAACCCAATCCTGGTCTAAAATTCAGCACATAGCAGCAGCTGGCACAAACACAACTGGCTCAGCATGGCTCAACATGACTGAAGTTATCATGGGATGACTTGAAGACATCTGCCAAGGTCTAGGAGAGTTGTGTAAATGGCCCCTAATCAATAAACTTTATTTGATTATCTCTAGTTGTTGTGTTATGTATAAAAACATGCTACAAAAAGAAGGAACCAGTTTACATTTCTCCAAACCTTCATCAATTCGTCACAACTATTTCTTTTTTAAACTCAAGTCCTAGTCCTGGAAACTTTTTATGTTGGAATTTTAAGATTTTAGGTCTTTGATCATTTTGTTTTCTGCCAGGTTACTGTTTAAGAGCACTGTGCTTGAAGGCAGCTCACTTATCTGGACTTTTCCAACAAAACACACAGAATCATAGAATCACAGAACCGTAGAACTGTACATTTTGAAGGGACCCCATGGGTCATCTAGTCCCATGTTGTTTCTGCTGTGTTTGCAGCACTGAAGTGACCCCTCTGGGTTGCGGGGATGGAGAGTGTACATGGAAGTCCTGGGCTGCCTCGCTAATGTGATCCAAAGGAAAGCAGAGCAATATGTTTGGCACCAACTTGGCTGCAGGAGTTGCCAGAAGGAGGCATACAAGACACCGTCTAACCACCTTAGGGACTCCACTCCAGATTTGTGTAAGGTTTGCTTCTTAGCCTTTTCTTCTCCCGAAGATGTTCCACAAGGCAGTGGGTACAGATTGTTCCCCAGGATTTGCTCCCAAAGCCTTTCTCATGAATGAGTATAGCCACAAGGCAGTGGAGGTTTAGGATCAGAGTTTTCCTTCTCTTAGGCAGGCTACCTTCCCAGGTTGATGAGCCCCATCTGCCCCTTACTTCCCTGTGCAGCACTTGCAGAAACCGCTTTCTTGGTACCACTGGACATACTATTGGGTCTCATCTGTTTAATCTGCTGGAGCCTGTCTTTGCATGCAGGGGATAGAAAAGTCCCTAACATACCGAGGGATCAAGACCCATTGGCTACCTTCACCAGGTCAAAACTGTTACTTGGGGTGTGGCCACTGTTGCAGAACTGACAGCTTCTAGGAGCCACAGATAACAGCTGATCAAAGGGACCAATGGTGGATGAACTACCCAGAAGCAGCACGACATATGCCCCACCAGAGATACCGTCCCTCCCTGAACACCACATACTGCAATCCAGGAATCTCAGCTAAAGCACCCATGACAGATGGCCATTCAACATTTTGCTTCAAAACGTCCATTGAAGGAGAGTCCATAACCTCCTGAGGGAAAGTTCTTTCTGATGTTTAGTCGTAAGGCAATTTAGATGGTTCTGCATGTAAAACTGCTCA